TCATTAGCACCTCTAGTAATATATTTACTGAGAAAAATGGTGACGTGTTCAATACTTATTTTACCCGCTGTATAGACAAAAACAGAAAGTTTATTTAATGTCATTTGACTAACATTAAAACTTAACCCTCCTGCTTTAACTTCCAGCATACTTGATGCCTTTATTTTAAATCATGTTTCTCGTTATTTCATTGTCTGTGTATGAAACGTGTCACTTGTAAAACAGGAAGTTGCGATGCCTGACGTGCTGTATGAAGACGTGATCGAGGTGGACGAGCGAGTCGTCCTCCAGCGAGACGACTGCCAGCTGATGAGGAAAGATCTGAAGCGTGTCGTAACAGGTGTGGAAATTAAAAACGTGAAAGAATCAGATTTTTTTTCCTTTATGTACGTAAAAGATCTGCAGCTGCAGAGTTAATATAGTTTCACTACAGGGGCGTGGCTTTATTAGGGCAGGGTGCGTGGCTACTTATTGAAAATAAAGAATTATATATATTTTGTTAAATTTTTGATGGGAGTGTCACTTAAAGTCTCATAAAATAAAATGAAACAGTAAAATTTAAATTAACAGCATATGAYTGGTGGTGATTGGAGGAAACAATTCTGTGTTTGCAAGACTTYCTGCGATTGGCTGTTTTGAATCACATGACTTGAATGCTCCAAACAAGCGAGGGCTAACTGTGCAAACATTACTGCAGTGAAAAGGCTCTGGAACGCTCTCCCTCTGTGCCTTTGCTGCTCAGATTCCACTGACTCTTTTAGGAAACGTCTTAAGACATTTTTATTCAGACAGGCTTTTAGTTAAGTTATGTTTACAGTTTTTTAAATTATTCTTCATTGTATCTGTGACTTGTTTTTATTGTTTTTAATTATTTTGCTCTCTGTTAAAGTGCCTGTGACATGCCTATCCATCGAATACAAAAAGTCAAAGAAAACATATTTTTAAACAGTATAAGAAAACTGGCATAAAACGTGATTTTGCCCATTTTTGTTACATAAATGGCATGTTTTCTTCTGAGCTTGGCTCAGCCAAAGTGAAACAGGAAGTGACATCAAAGGGGAACTCTTTAAGAAAYAGAACTCTCTAGTTTTTCTTTATTGAAACAATATTATTTGAAGTCTGAGTCATATTCATCTCTCTCTGATAGTGACTCAAAATAATCTAAAGAAACAGCAGATCTACAGTCTGTGTCGTTAGCTATTTTATCAACACTCTGTTCCATGCAGGCATTTCCCTTTGACATCACTTCCTGTTACTTCACAAGCAAATATCTTATCAACTGTTCATCTCAGCAGTGGGAAATTATTTTTGTAAATTGCTAATAATGTTATCTTTCCAATAATGCCTTTATTTTTGTTTAAAAAAATCATGTCACAGGCACTTTAAGCACTTTGTACTGCTCATCTCTGTGAAAAGTGCTATATAAATAAAGTTTGTAGACTTACTTACAAAACAAATTAGATTAGATATGACTTTGTTAATGCCTTGGAACAATTCCTGAAGGGAAATTAGAGTTACAGTAGTATCACACAGGCAAAAAAGTGACAGCGAGTTTAATAATGCAAACTAAATATGTATAAAATAATGAATATACAAATGTTCATTTTAACGTAAAAAAAAAAAAAGACTGGAGGACCTGGTGACCGATGGCATCACAAACACTAAATACAGTGGTGTCAATGTTTTTGACAGTCAGTGAGGTTTATTATTTTTTATTCTACCTGGAATTTTAGTTCTAAGCTGCTTCTTTTGGAAGTTGTTCTGTAGAAGCAAAAGTGGAACAAGCTTACTTTCATTTATATTTATTTAGCAGTTTCTGTCCACGCTACTGTTTCAGTTTAATTACTTCTTTCGGGATAATAAATGTCTTTTCTTAAAAACATCGGATCAGAGTGTTTCCTCACTGTGTGCTAAAAGTTATGCCAACAATTTATGTTTGTGGTCTTAGGAAGTACAGGGGATTCCTTGGAAGTGTGGAAGGAAGTGGATCTGGATCAGGTGGAGAAAGACCTGAGAGCGGTTCTGTCCCGCGGCATCACCAGCGTGGCCGTTCTGCTGCTGCACTCGTACACGTCAGTACTTTCCTCTGCAGTTTCACCTGCTTCTCTTAATCTGSATTTTAAAGGGGCAATTTTATATGTTTCTCAGTTGTATATTTAAATTCTATACATAGTAAATGCTGTTTATATGTTTAAGTAGACAATAAACTTGACTTCTAATCATATCTGTTTCTAAACGCCTTGAAATTGGCCTCTGTCTCTTTAAGAACCTGCTTCTGCTTCTGTCCCGCCCATTTCAGCACACTGTATCATTCAAGCCGGGTTCCTACCAAATGCCAAAATGCTCCTGCTGCATGCGTTTGGCTGCTTGTCAGCAGCTGTCCGTTCACGCCAAACGCGTCTAAAGACGCGCAATGGGAGGAGCGTCTTTGTTCTTTTTCTGGTCGGTTGATGTTTGAAATGAAGATAAAATAAATAAAAATGCTTTCCTTTATTAAGAGCAAGAGAACGTTGCGCACAGAGCAGATAATTAATTCACTTAGAGGCGCCCTCACAGACTTTTTTTTTTCTCAAACCGGGACCAAACTAGAGGCTGTAGAGGGAGGAGGGTCTTGGTTTTCTTCCGGTCTGTCTTTAATGATGGGTGAAATAAAGATAAAATAAATAAATACAATGGCTTTGTTTTATTTACTAAAGTTTCGCCACTCCAGGAACTGCGAGCTGATCCTTTTTTTTTTTGCCCCGAGCTCAGCGAGCTGCTGCCGTCTCATCACATCGGTGCTGATCTCTCCAGCTAGAACACCAACTGCAGACTGTTGATTTCAGCTAAAAAGGCTCCTGTCAGTCTGTGTCGGGTTCATGAAACCGTCACGTGAAAAAAATATTCCCTCCCGATTGGTTGCTGCTGCGCGGCAAACAGCCAAAGTTCAGTTTGTTGAACTTTAGCAGCCGCTGCTTTGCAACTGCCGCATGTGCGGAAAAATTCTCAGCCGCATGTTGTGCGCTGCCCTCAACTGGCAAAACACGTCGCTACGTGCTGCGCTGCTCGTAGATGCTCGTCCACCATAGACTTTGCATGTAAACTGGCAGCTTTGGCTGCTCCAAACGCATTTGTTGTGTACCCGGCTTCAGTCTCACGCAGGGAGCAGCACAGCATCACTAAATCTACAAACAGATCCATGTTCACCTCGTGTGTCTCTTTCCCCTGTCCAAGGTGGTCCGATCACGAGAAAGCCGTGGGCTCTCTTGCGCGACGCCTAGGCTTCACGCAGGTGTCTCTTTCCAGCGAGGTGATGCCGATGGTGCGAGCCGTCCCTCGCGGCTACACGGTCTGCGCCGACGCCTACCTCACGCCCAAGATTCATCAGTATTTGAAAGGCTTCACCTCCGGTTTTAAGGGGGAATTGAAGGTGTGTGTGTGTGTGTGTGTGTGTGTGTGTGTGTGTGTTAGGCTAGCCCTAAAACTACAAGACTCTGAAAGATCTGAGCCTCCGCGTTTGGTTTCCAGGACGTGGATGTCCTGTTCATGCAGTCCGATGGAGGTCTGACTCCCATGGAGCAGTTCTGCGGGTCCCGGGCCATTCTGTCCGGCCCGGCAGGGGGTGTGGTGGGATACGCCATCACCTCCTACAACCAGATGGAGAAAAAGCCTGTGATTGGCTTCGACATGGGCGGTGAGTGTGAGACTTCCTAAAATTGTGAACTTTGGGATTTACAACCAGGTTTTAATATTGATTTCTATCTACCTGTCAGACAGACAGTCAGGCAGCAGGTGAAAAAYGACTCTGAATATTCTCCGTTTRCAAAGGTGTGCCYCAGGGTTCCATCCTTGGCCCCACTCTGTTTTCCATTATTGACATTCCACAAGTTGTTTGTAAAGGCGCTGTGCATTCATTTGCTGATGACACCATTTTATTTTCATTTCCTCCCCTGGGACAGTATTGCATTCTCTGGATATTCAAAATGTTTTTGCAAGTTTAGAACTAACCTTGAATGCTAAGAAAACAACATTTCTGTGGTTTAACTGTACTTGGTCTTCGCTACGACAGACGAAACAATCCTTGAGCAGGTTACAGAGCACAAATACTTGTGAATATGGTCAGACAGTGCATTGTCCTTCCGTCACCACATTACCACACTGCAAGCTAAGGTAAAAGCAGAACTCGGACAGAAACCGCTCATCTTTTCCATCCTCAGCCAAAAGACTTGTTGTTGACGTGTATTCTTCCTTTGTTTGATTACGGGACATGATTTATCGCCCAGCTTGCAAGAGGAGTCTTAAAAAAATTGATTCAGTCTATCGTTCCACCATTTGATTTGTTACTAATTCTCCGTATAAGACTCACCACTGTCTGCACTCTCAAGTTAATTGGCTTTCCTTGTAGTCTTAATACACACTGGCTTTTGTTCATTTCTAAAACCCTGCTACTTCTTTCACCTCCTTATTTAAATCAATTACTACAYCAAGAACTCCCCTCAACATACAATAACCGTTCCTCCCAAGTTATTAAARGGAAAATCCCTAAAAACCAAGTCTTCTTTTGGCCTCATGTCTTTTTGGTTTGCTGCTCCAAATAATTGGAACTTGTATCGAAATACACTGAATCTTGACACTTTCATTTCTCTTTCTGTTTTTAAACTCAGACTAAAAGACTTTTTTAAAAAACTGTTTAAAAGAACGAACACATTGCTTACTGAATATGTTGTATATACTGTATATGTTTATATCTTCCCCTTTTCAAGTGTTTTAACACATTCAGGCTAACATTGCAAATAAATTGTTTTTAAAGGGATCCATGATTAGTTGTAACATTAGACTTTATTTGATAAACATACATATTAACTGTAAAAATAAAGACTGTAAAAATACTGTAAGCTGTTCAGTTTTGTAAAATTTTTAAAAATATATTACACGGACGGAGCCATTTTATACAAATCGTAGTCTACGTTTTAGTGGCCACATCAATCTCCTCWTACCAAAAGCACGTACGGTCTTTGGTCGCTCCTCATTTCAGTTCTCTGCTGCAGATGACTGGAACAATCAGCAATGAACCTTAAAACTGGACTCATTCATTTCACTATCCTCATTTAAAAGTTCGATACACTCAATAGTAAAAGATCACTGTACTTGCGTTTAGTTTCCTTTTTTTATTTTATTTTATTTTTTGTTTTCCTGGTTTATAATGTTACATTCTGTCTAATTGTACTGTATGCTGTCTGTGTCGTGTCTTTGTTTTAACATTGTTCTGACATTTTGTGTTGTGCTGCTGCCTCTTGACCAGGTCATCAATGTAAATGAGAATTGGTTCTCAACTGACTTACAAGTTAAAATAAAGGTGATATATTTACATGRAAAGCATTCTGGGTAAATGATGACATGGATAGGTCCTCGAGCAAGGCTGCTAGCGAGCTATATCCACCCTGAGGGTTAATCTTGGACAATATCTGATGATCGGCCCTTTTAAATGAAACCAGAGAGCGTTGACAGAGAGGAGAAGGTAGAAATGACTCAGCCTG